AGAACAGAGAATATTAGTATTATATTCTCCTAAACATATTTAAAATCTCTGTACAAAGTATATTACAAATTATACAATGTGTCTTTTTGAAATAATCAAAAACTAAAACTGAAAGCATCAATATTTGGTTTACTAAATAACTAATATGAACCTCCTATTGGTCTTTGGCTTTTCTGTTAGATGTTATTGCAAGGTACTAATCAAAATGTAAAATAACAGAAGATTAGAGTTTATAATTTCTCACTACCACTGCTATAATATTGGAGGAGGAATCCTAAAGACATGGCCATAATTTGACACACATCTCTACTGTTCTCACATTTCAATATTAATAAATTAACATTCTGGGGGAAAAAAAGAGCCTAAAATTTGACTTCTTCAGTTTAGGAAGTGCCCAGTTAATCCCTGACATCCTAGTTTCCATTTTTAAAAATATACTTTTTCTCCTCTGAAATTGCTAAATATTTAGATTCTTAAATATATCTTAGCACATCACAATAGAAAGTAAGTAGATTTGTAAAAGTAAAAATAGCCAGTAAACCTGATCAAATTAAAATATTAATGGGGGTTTAATGACAAATGAACATAAAATAGTAAATGAGAAAGAACAGAGAGCTCTGATGATTATGAAAGAGAACAAATCTAAACTCAAAATTCCACTTTTTGTATTATTACATAACTGATGAAGAACTTCTTCTAAGGATAAGTGGGAACCATCTAATCATGTAAGAGGAAACAAACACCGTTAATCAGCTTTGTGTTTTGTTTAAAACTGAAAATAACATTGTTAGGTGGTTCCTAAGAAAAGTCCCTAAATTTGTTTATAACCTCAAAAACAACATGGAAAAGAGAGGAGATGGCATAATGATCTTTGTTGAATAAGTATGAATGGATATTCAAATTATTAAAATTTATCTTAAGATTTTTCCATTCCTTCCAGAATAAAGAGAAAACATGGTAATATGGTCTAATCTGTACCTTTGCAGCCTCTTTCCCCACAACTCCTGATACTCAAGAGGTCCTCTGTCTCAAAGTCCCCTTTGCCTGCAATGTTCTTCTCCAGACTTTCTGCCTACCCTAAGAAACACAAGGTTTCCTCGAATCAGCCTCCTCTGTCTTCCCAAACTAGTTCAAATTCCCCCAGGAGCATTAGAATTTTATTACACTACGTATCTATTCACAGAAATCACAGTTGCAGTGTTATATCTGTATACTGAAGTTGATTAGTTTCTTTCAACCTCTCAGGAATGATATATATAATATTAACCACCACTTGACTTCCCTGTGTATAGCACAGGGCATGGAAATGCAAATATTTGTGAGTAAATAAACTCATATAAGGCAAATCAGAGAAAACTTTTTACTCAAAATATATTGACAGGATAACATTTATGAATCTGTTCCTTCTTTAAAAAACTGAAACAATAGGTTAAGTTCATTCTACAAGAGAAATACCAATATCTAAGGAATTTATGGTCATTTTACAAATCTTTCTGACAGATACTCTCATTAATCACCATCTATTTAAATGTGCTATCATAAATAACATATTGGTTACATTTCTGTAACACTTCCTGCCATTAACCTCATTTCTAGAATACTGGCTAATACTAAAGCACCTGGATTTCAGGAACACAAACCTGAAACTCACACACCAAACCAAACTGTTATGTAAATGACAGAAACATGGTCTGCAACATCTCTAGACAGTTTCTAGAGGAATTTAACTTTTACCACTATAATTCTGTCACTTGGTTATAATCATTTTGAGCCTATAAATAAACATTTTCCAGATGAAAAATAAGTAGTTCTACATAATCTTTACAAAAGCCAATCTTTAAAGAACACTGCCAAAGTTCTAGTTTCCTATCAATGTAAGGTGAACTTTACTTTTTGTCATAATATATAAAGGAAAATTATGATAAGCTGGACATAGTGGAGATCACCTTTAACCCCAGCTATTTGGAGGCTAAAGTAGTAAAACTGCAAGTTTGAGGCCAGTCTCAACAATTAGCGAGCACTTGACTTAAAAAAAATTAAAAGGGCTGAGTAAGTAGCTCAGTAGAAGAACAACCCTGGATTGAATCCTTAGTACAAACAACAACAACAAAAAGTTCACAAATCAGAACTAAGTTTAGATTCTTTCATTTCTTTGATAGTGAGCAAGTGATATAAAGGTCGCTGACCTTCCATTTCCTCATTTTTTAGAAATGAGATAATGATTCCTACCTCCTAAGACAGATTTGAGACTTCAACATGATAAAATGGGCCTCTCTCAAGCATGCTCAGGGTCCCTTGCTCACTCCTTGCTGTACAGGAATTCTATTAGGATTCTGCAGAGTAAAATAAGTATTTTAGTGAAAATTATTCCCTTCATTTGTATATTAATAACATGGATTTTCAGGGTTTCTTTACATCTTCTTTACTAACTAAAGATCTCAAAGACTACAGTACTAAATATTAAATAAAAGGTAATAATCGAAATGCCATATAAATAAAAAGCTAGACTCAAAAACAAAATATCACAAACATATAAACTAATCAAAAGTTAGCAACAGAAATCTAATGTTAAGTAGAGATCATATAATCAAAAAAAAAGAAAGAAAACAGGACTCCATCTCTCTTTGGTCAGAACATGCATGGATATTTAAAAACATAAAATAGGGCCGAGAGTGGTGGCAGGAGGACTGCAAATTCAAACCACCCTTGGCAACTTAGAGAGATCTTGTCTCAAAATAAAAATTAAAAAAGGGCTGAATATGTTCAGTGGTTAAGTGCCTCTGGGTTCAATTCCTGGTACCCAAAAACCAAAATAAAATAAAATGTAAAATAGGGAAATGAAGAAAGTCAGGATATGATAAATTAGTAAAAACTGGAAGACCTAAATTGTTATATTCATGTTACACAACACACTTGGGTATAAAGCCAAAAGGAAAGTTATGTAGGTCACTTAAAAACTTCAGTCTCTTTCTTTTAAAGACAAAATGCCCAACTGTCTTGACACTGGAAAGATCAGGCAAGACGCACTGGCAGCCAGGTTTTGTAAGGCAAATTTTGAGAATTCTCTACCTTCTCACTTACTAATTATGGAATTTTTATAAAAACCATTTTTCCCATGCATACACATTTTCTTTTTCCTCCTAACCCCATTCTCCACTTCTTTCTGCATTATAATAAACAAGAGTAAGAGATACGAACTGACAATTTTCCACCAGAATACAATGATATACCAAAAAGGAAGACCTCTCTTCTCTATATCTGCACTATTATTCTGACAATAATAATCCCTACATTAAGCATTAATATAATACACTATCCCTATGGGAACTCAAAGTAATTACATAAGGAAAATACAGTATCATTAAATGTAAACACCAGAATTGAACAATACACTTCTAAGTGCTAGGAAGTACAAATCTGAAAACAATTTTGGAACTCTTCTTTTGAAAATGTCTTTAAAGTCATTTAAAGTTACATACTTTGTTCAACTAAATTCCATAAATAAAATACTTTGTTAGGCTGTAGAAATGCCTTATGGTAAGTTAGTATGGAGATTATGATAGAATAAAATGAAAAGAAGATCAACAATAAATGATTACCAAGTTAAAAATTCACATGCTGGGTACTTTACTAGATGCTGGACCCAGACTAGGAACATAGCAATCCTGACTTCAAGAAAAGTATCAACCCCTTGGAAATTATACCTGCAGCATTGAATAAAAAGGTATTTTATTCCTTCAGTATTCTGAGACTTTATTTGCTAATTTTTAATCAGGCGATTGGTCTTCCTCTTTGAATATAGTTATGTGATGACTTAACCAGAGCAGACTCTCTGTTCTTAAATGATTTCCCATGATAGCAGGTAATTTGCTTTCTAGAATATCATTAATTCGATAATTTATTTATTTATTTTTTGGTGGTGCTTGGGATCAAACCTGTGACCTCACATGTTAGGCAAACATTCAACCACTGAGTTACAACCCCAGGCCCTCAATAAGTATTTAGTATTTGCTATATTATATCCCAAGCACACTGAATTTTTAAGTACTATACAAAATATTATAGTTCTTTACCTCCTATATATTTGCTGTAATGAAGACCTGCAAAGCTACTTACTGTCTATTTTGTTGTACAATTCCAAGAATTCACCATATAAAATGAATGCAATCCTTTTATTTGTAATAGTTATATTCTATAAAAAGTGACTTAAAACACTGAATTAGCAAATACTGAACTACTGGGCCTAAGAGAAATGATGTTATGTTTCTGAGAGCTTTTGTTACGACATATTCATCACCTAATACATAATCTTGCTTGAAGTACATTTCTGTTTAAAAACTACACCACGGGTTTGGGGTTGCGGCTCAGTGGTAGAGCACTTGCCTGGCACACGTGAAGCACTGGGTTTGAACCTCAGCACCACAGAAAAATAAAATAAAGGTATTGTGTCCATCTATAACAATAACAACAAAATATTAAAAAACAAAAACAAACAAACAAAAACTACACTGTGCCTAGAGTACATTCTATACAGCACAAAAATCACCAACCAAAAAAAAAAAACAACCCTCCCATACCCCCAAAAGGAACAGGAAAAAAAATGGACTGAAAAGACTATGAAAAGGACTCTTGTTTATACTATGAAAGGTGAACAAGAAGACAAAGTGTTGCTTTGTTTAATGTCAGCTTGGAACATGCACATCAGGCAAATTATATTTTTAACTCCACTGCACATCTTGTAAAATTGCAAAGTGTTTCAAGTACTGACTTAGGGGTCACTGATAAATTTTAGCAAGTAGGTAATTCTGCCAATACAAAAACTTTGAATATTGAGTAGTAACTGCACACAAGTCAATCTCTAATATAATTGCCACCAAAAGTCAGATCTGAAAAACAAACTTTCAGATACTACACAACAGATTTTTGGACCAGGATTGCTTCAAGAAGTAAGATGTCTGAGGCTTTCACAACTTAGTATTTTTCAAAATGTTACTTCTTACCTGATATATTCTAAAAGGGATATAACGAAATCCATTTTCTTCTGCAGGATACTCCATAAGTTTCCGATTGATGGCCCAAAATTGGTCAAATCTGTCTGAAATGATATAAACTGTGTTATTAAAATGAACATTCTAATGGAATATCTCACATGAAGACATGAATATCTCCTAGAAATTTCAATAAACTATAATTAACTAATCTTATCTTTCCATAATTAAACATAAAGATATAAAGTTAAATTTTCTACATAATTTTTCCTCTTCCTATTTACATTTTTTCTTATAAGAAAAACCCTAAACAGATATGTGACTATTTGTGTTATGATGGCCAGGTATGGAAAGATAATTTGACTCTCCTGATCTCAATGCAACTGTTCAACTATAAACGGACAGACTTAAGTAAACTAAACGTTAGCCAGAATGTGCATACAGAAACAAAGCCAAACACTGAACTTGGTGCTAGGCATACTGGTACACACTTATAAATCCCAATTATTCAGCAGGCTGAGGCAGGATGATTCCAAGTTCAAGGCCAGCTTGGGTAACTTAGTGAGACCCTGTCTCAAAGGAAAAAAAGGTCTGGGGATGTAGCTTAGTAGTAAAACATCTCCGGGTTCAATCTCCAGTACAGAAAAAATTAAAAATAACTGTACTTGTGAAATGTCTATTGTATAGCATAATCTCACACTGATTAATCTTTTTTATTATTTAGGTTCATTAAAACATTTCTGAGACATAATGTGCATGCCATACTGTTTACCCTCTAATGTTTAGAATTCAGTGGTTTCTCAATAGAGTTCAGAATATTTTATATAAGTGGATCACACAATATGCGGTCTTTTCATTTTTTTTCCATGCAACATATTGTTCATTTTTCCTATAGCATATATCAGAATCTCATTTGAAATTTTTTGTGCCCAAAAACCATTCCACCACATGGAGTTACAAGATTTTATCAATCACCTGAAAAAATCTGAGTTTTTTTTCAATAAAATATTTTTTGAACTTTTGGGTATTAGAAGTATTATTATTAAGAACATTAATGCACCAGATACGGTAGGCTAAGGCAGGAGGATCGTGAGGTGGGAAAACAAAACACAACAAAAAATGTTCACGCACAATTTTTGTGTGAGCATGCATTTCCAGTTCTTTGGGATATTTACCTTGGAATGAAAGTGCTACATCTTACGGAAGTTCTGTTTAACTGCTATGTTTTGAGGAACTGCCAACCTGTTTTCCATAATGACCGAACCACTCTACATTCCCCCAAGTAATGAATGAGGGTTCCAATTTATCCACATTCCTGCCAACACTTTAATTTCTGGTATTTCATACTCTGTCATCCAAGTGAGTATAAAGTAGTATCTCACTATGGGTTTGAATTGTACTTTCCTAACAACAAATAATGCTAAGCATCTTGTCATGTGTTTATTGACCAGTAGTACATTCTTCTTTAGAAAATTATCTATTAAATCCTTTACTCCATTTTAAATTGTGTTCTTTTTGCTATTAAGTTCTAAGCAATCTTTATATATTCTGGATACAAGCCCCTCATCCAACATGTAACTACAAACTTTTCTCTGATTCTGTATACTATTTCTTAAGCAATTCCTTTCTAGAATCCTTACAATAAAATGTTTTTCATAGTCAGAAATTTTTATCATGGCCAAAAATCTGTAAAGCAGGTAAAGAAGTCAAGAATTTCAGGCCAACTCACTGTTTGAGCCCTTACTCTACTGCTAGACTTGTCTCCAATTAATCTACAAGCAATCTTAATTGCTTAAGCTTTCATAACTATATAAAAGTAAAACTGTTTCTTCTTGTACCCAGAACATAAGTGCTAGAAGACTATGACTGGCTTTTAGGCCTTCCCTGGTCTCATCTTCAACTCTAACCTGGGGGACTACTCATGACATATTAGAAATTGTAGGTTAGGGATTTTGAATCTAGTTAATCAAGTACAGTTTCACAAATGATGAAGATGCTTAATAAGGAACAAGGCCAGAATGTGGATCTTCTGATTCAAATACCACCCCAGTTGCAAAACTACACTTTAAACCTAAGAGTAGCACCTTTAACACGGTCATTTCATATAGGAAGAAATTATATTTTAATGTTTAAAAAATGTTTTGTTTTACCATCAAGAATCAAGGCAAGAGGCTAGGGTCCGTACTTGTGAGATACTGGGTATAATCCTCAGCACCACATTAAAAAAAATAAATAAAGATATTGTATCCATGTTTTTAAAAATCTTTAAAAAAAAGAATCAAGGCAAGAATGTGCCAACTAAATGATTCTTCATGCATACTTGAAAAATTTCACTCAGTGTATTGTCATTTAATCTCTAGCACCTTGCATGGTAAAGGCAGAGCATAAGCTCTTGAATCAAAGAATGAATATACTAAAACACTACAAATATAATATTTCATTTTAAAAAACGGAATTCTCTAATCCTAGCCCTGCAACCAAATATCAAGGTTATTAGAAACAAAATCCACTTAAAATTCCACCTTAATTCACATAAGATACTTTTTAAAAGGTGTTAGTTTCTAATGCCTCTTCTAAAAATAAGTTTCATAATTAAGATTCCTTCTCTATTAAAACTGAGCCTGTTTAAAAAAAAAAAAAACACTAGCAAACCCTCATTAAAACAGATATTAAAATTGCTTCTAAAAGAGAGAACAACACAGGCTACAATAAGTTTTCAACCAAGGAAAATGCTGATCTCCAAAGGATTTTCTTAACATTTGGAGACCTTTTTGCTGCGGAGCTCAGTGTGGTGGGTGCATGCCTATAAACCTAGCAGCTTGGGAGGCTAACGCAGGAGGATTGCAGATTTGAAACCAGCCTCGGCAACTTAGCAAGGCTCTAAGCAACTTAGGGAGACTCTGTCTCAAAATTTGAGGAAAAAAAATTTTTTTTAAAGATTGGGGAGATGTCAGTAGCTAAACACCCTTGGGTTCAATCTTGGTACCAAAAAGCAAAACAAAACACAATGTGAACTATGTACAGGCAGGAGGAGATGTATGTGTGATTAGCATTTAGGGATAGAGGCCAGAGATGCTGCTAAGCCTACCATAATACACAGGACAGCCTCCCAATACAATTATCCTGACCCCAGATGTCAACAGTGCTAAAAGAAGAAAAACAATCACAAACAATAAAAGATGCAGAAAAGTAATTAGTCAAAAGAGGTTGCAAATATGTACTGCAAGAAAGTACAAAAACTGGGGAAAGGACGAATGGAAACTTGACTATGACAGTTACAAATTTAATAATCTTCAGTTTCAAATTCTCCCTTCAACATATACAGTCCCACATGGACACAAATATTTTGAGATTCTCTACAGTAACAACTACTTGAAGGTTTCTCAGCAATGAGTGTTCAAAGGAGATTATAGGGCAAAAGGCAGTTCTGTAGTTTCCAACTACTGCATAGTGGATCAGTGGTACTGAGGTAAGAACATCAAGTGAAGGCTGCCTCACACACATGCCCAGATGTGCAGTCTTCTCAAGGACCTGGAAGTATAGGCCCTGCCTAGCAATAATCTTCCCTCTCAACACAAAATCCAACCCTCTCAAGACTTCCTGCCTGCAGAGGCATACAGGTGGCTCAAAGGGTTCCTTCCCCTCTACATGCTGTATTACCCAACTGCCTATGAACTAGCTCTGACCAAGGTACAATGGTACCCTTTAATTTGGTAGATTGAATTATACCTTTCCCCACTGAGATCTGAATCCCAGCCTTAAGGAAGGGGCCCATTGAAGTTTGTCCTTTCTCTACCAGTCCTAGGTACCATATATACTTTCCAATGTCTTAAAGTCACTCTTTTATCAGGGTTTAATCATTCTTTACAAAACTTACCCTGTTCAACCCAATGTGTAGTTTCTATCTCCTGATTGGACCCAGACAGACAACTATGTTTCAAAAGAAGAAAGACATGATAAAAGATCTGTACTTGTATCAGTTTTTAATCTTCTTATAAAAGGTTATAATCCCATATAAAAATTTTTGGCATTTTCTAAGCAATATGAAAAGCACACTAAGAATAAATTAACTTTTATTACTTGTTTATTATCAAGTAAGATACAGATAGCAGTTAAAGAAAATTAGCTCTAAAATTGTGTATATAACCAATTGCCTTTCAAACTGGACTTTATAATATCAGTATCTACTTTAATCAATAAAGTTTAAGAACAAAATTTTTACTATTTTCCTAAATATTAATGAATTAAGAATATACTGAACTGCTTTCAAGCAATAGTTTAAATACTGAAACTATACTATTCATTATTATAATTAAGCCATAAAATTAGTGATTTGTTTCTTTGGCCATCAAGAACACACAGTACTTATACCATAATGACCTCTGGCTATTCATTTTTAACCACATACAACTATGCATCTATTAAATATGTACATCAATTTCAACAACTTCCAAATTTATTTAGTTCTCCTGCAAAACACAATTTAAAAAAACTAGGTAGGAAAAGATATAAACTAGCATTTGTTTAGATTATTCATATAATAGGAGAAAGAAAGAACAAATACACTTTCTATCAGACTTACTAGCAATGTAACTGATAGTTTTCTTTTTGAAATTCAAGAATGCTATTAATGCAAGGATTATAAAATTGAAGGACTGTTCTGTAGAAATATTACCTCTAAGCCAGGCCCAGTGGCACATGCCTGTAATCCAAGGGGCTTGGGAGGCTAAGACAGGAGGATTACAAGTTCGAGGCTAACCTCAGCAACTTAGTGAGATGCTGTTTCAAAGTAAAACATAAAAAGGACTGGGGATGTGGCTCCATGGTTAAGTGCCTGTGTGTTAAATCCCCAGGAATACCCCCCCACACCAAAAACATTGCATCTGTTTTTTAAAAGGATTAAAAATAGAATTCCTCAAAAATCTTAGTGGCCATGAACTGTTCCTTATTTTCTACTGCATTAAGCTTTTATATTGATCTTGGAAAAAAAAATTTAATACAGAAAAAATAATCAGGATCAGTGATAGAGTGCTTGCCTAGCATGCATGTGACCTGATTTGTCCCCAGCACCATAAAAACAAAAGCAAACAAACAAACAAAAAAGAAT